TCCCCTGCACCCAGCGGTGACCCCCCCATGCCTCTGCACGGGCACTCCCTGCAAAACACTGTCCCCCTAACACACCTGGGGCCTAGCGCTTGCTGCTGCATTTTGTAATTCATGACAGGAGGGTAACGCAGCTGCCTGCCTTCTACTTCAAGTCGGGTACTTGCACAGTTCAAACGTTGTCTGGCAGAGAGATTTTCTCCTTTCAGAAGTGCAATTACTGCGTATTAAGCGGTCAGGTTGGTCCTCAGCGCTGAGGGAGGCCCAGCGCCAGCACTGAGACCGGACTGTATTTCGGCTCAGCGCCATGTCGCACGCCTCCCTCTGACAGGAAAGGCCCAACATGGCGCGAGGCCTTTCCCCACGGTACGTGTGCCTGCTAGACCTCGAGCACAAATACAACGTGAACGCCAAAGCCTCCATAAACGGGCGGCGTAGCATGTGCTGCAACGCAGCTGGAGGGTACGCCTCGTTGCCTCACGAGGCAGTCATCTCTGGGCTGCAAACATGGGGGTTCGCCCCTCGCTGGCCATATTGCCTGGCAGACTACTAGGCAGCATCGATTTCCCTGCTTGTTCAGTGTGTTAACAGCGACACCACCATGTTCAGATACCACGGAACAACCAAGTTAAGTTCATCTGGTCAAAGAGCTCCTTTTCTGGTTTTGGCTTTTTGATTTTTTTCTCCCTCAATGCAGCTTAAACTTATTGTTTTTCAGTATATTATGCAGAACACAGGTCACAAAAGGCAGGGAAGAGCTATGAATAAGGCACTGTCCCCCAGCACCGTTTTGACACCAATGGCCACATCCTCGCTGATACGCAGCATTTAAGTCAGAAGCGGGCAGAGTCTTCTCCGGCACTACGGCTGCAGAAGGCACTTTCTCACTAGAGCTGGCTGGAAAAAAAAAAAGTTTCTGGTTCATGGAAGAAGTTGTTTTCTTGAAAATTCCCCTCACCAGAAGCTACCTTGACCCTGCAGCTGCTCAGTGAGACTGATGCCTTTGTCAGCAGGGAGAGGAAAAAATGTCCTTATTCAAAGAGCAGCTGCAGGGGAACCTCTCCCTGAGGCCACCCCAGCTGCAGGCTCTGGGTGCGGTGGGAGCCCTCCGGTGACGTCCATGGAGGGAGCACCCTGCAGCGTGCCTACCCCCAACACAGACCTCCGCAAGGAGCCCGGGTAGCAATTCCCATCTCTCTGCTTGGCTGCTGTTTTTCCCAAGGCTCTGCTGATTTATTCTTTTGTCCAAAAGGAAAAAAAAAAAAAGGGACAAAAATAAAAGAAAAATTGACTCAGTCACTCTGCATTTTCTGTGAAACTTCTGACCAACTCCAGTCCTCAGGGCTAAGCGCCACGGACTAGAGCAAATGAGGCAAGGATTCCTGTGGGTCTTTCTATCCCCTTGGCAGCCCAGGCAAGCAACTGTCCCAGCTAGCTAGGGGCTGCTTTCGGCCGCTGGCTCCCCTGAGGACCCTTGGCTGCACCCTGCACACACGCTGCCTTTCAGCACTGGCAGCCCCTGGCAGTGGAGGGAGGTAATGAAGATTTGCATGCGGCTGGCAGCAGGGAAGAGTTGTGCGCTTGCACTCTCCAGCACTTTATTGCTGGTTTAGGGAAGGCAGCCTACCCAGAGCTGCCGTGTCGTGCAGGTGAATTGAATTCACTGGTCCCCAGATGAGGCTTCTTTCTGTACGTGGGTCTCACCGCTGTTGGAAATAGCAGCAGATGTAGCGATCTGCTGCCATTCTGCCTGAGCACTCGCAATCCCACCTCCAGCAGCCTCAGCCTGTGGGAAGGAGCTCCCTGGGTTGCCTGTCTACAAGAGCACTCATCTGCGCAAAATTGGACTTCCAGAATTTGCAGCAGAGCCAAATCTGTAACATTCCCAGGCTTTCATGTTTAAAAAGCAAAACTGTGAGAGAAAAGGAGTGTCCAACCTCCCTACTTGAGCTAGGCACCCAGAGGTTGCTTTAAGAGCTGTGTTTCAGTGCTGGATTCAGCCCAAGGATTTCTTCAGACAGCACAGGGTCTTTTCAGAAGGTATTTCTTGCTGCAGAATAATATAATGGGCCCTTAATCAGTGCACGTGACAAGGCCATTTATCATTTGCAAGCCGAAAGTGAAAAGAATTGTGCTTTTGTTTTGCCTTTTCTCCTACCTCCTTCGGAGATCCCTTTTCCACCACTTTCACATGTGATCTCCAGGATTTCTTCCCCAGAGGGGATGTGTGTGTGGGGATAAGTGTTCATGACAGCACTACATCTGCACCTCACGTAAAATGTTCTCAGCTTCCTTCCCATTACTGTCTAGAGACCGCATCAGAGAGATGTGTTTTAAAGGAGCCAAATCTTTTAACTGATTTTTAAATCCCATCTAAAGCTTGTGACTTTCTCCTTGGAAAATGCATCCACGCAGGTCAAGCACTGGGAATGCTTCGTCCCGTGGCTTGACTTACTCTGCTCCAGTGTTTGCACAGCAGCCCACACATGAGTAAGGAAGCTGGCAAAAACCCTTTACAATTTGTAAGCATCTCACATCTACCTTAAGAAAATAATTATGTAAATTCTCTGCTTCCCTGGAGAGGTTTTGGAAGAAAACTAAAAGAGATGCAATACGAAAAAATGCTCAGGGCTGCCATTGTGCACCATAACTCCTCTTCTCTCTGCAGTTGCCTGCCCCACTACCCTCTCGGTCTGATAACCCTGCTTTGCTCCTACTGCTTCAAATAGGCACTGGCCACCATTTAGACAGCTTGGCAAATGGGCTACCCACGAACTTCTCCTGATTGAATGCACCAGGGTGGTACATAGCAGCACGGGGCCTGCAGGTCAGCTGCAGCTGAGCATCAGCAGTTGAACAGAGCACCCAAAAAAGTGCAGCCAGATATCCAGAATGAAGATATCAAATAAGCAGGACAGCATCTTACCTGTATCATCACATTGTGATCACCCAAAGAAACTGCTTGTAACAATGCTAGACAGAAAAACATCAATCTGGAAATGGGATTTTTAAGTGGAGGGTATCCCTGTAGTAAAGTACAAATCAAAACCCTTTCCCTTTCCTCTCCTAATATGTGGCATTTTGGACTCCGTTCATACATCTCTCTGTTTTTCCCCTTTCCAGTTCCAACAGCAATCTTAAAGAAAACAAAACTGAGGTCTATGCTTATCTACAGAGCTGTGCCCTTTCAAGGCAGTTTTTTATCACTTACATGGTACCCTCCAGATAAGTGTGATTTTGACTGTTATTTTCTAAGAAAGTGACTGAATACTGATTGTACATTCCCTTGAGTTCCCCGAACCACAGCTTGTCCATGCAAACAATGAGTTCAGTAAACAAATGAGCTGTGGAATGATTGCATGTGAATGACATGTACTTAATAAATGGTGCTGTATTATGTCCTTAGACACACCAATAGTTCAATGAGAGGGAAAGAAAAGGGAGAATATTCTCATACTTGCATTGCATTAGTTTCTCACGGCTACGTGGAATGAAGTGCATTGCTGCATAAACAGGCAATCAAACTTTTTGCCTTGTGGCTCTCATAATTACATACAGAAGGGAAATATAGGATTTTTTGTGCCGCATGCAGAAATAACCTTTGATTACAAAATTGATTGGCAAAAAGAAGTGACAGATTTTCAATACCTAAAAAAAATGAAATCAATTGTTAGAGCAAAACTTTTCAACATTTCTCTCCCTCTCCTGCATTCTCACTTCAGTTTTTCTGTATCTAGCAATGCCTCTCAGAGCTCCTTAATGCTCTGCGTGAACTTTCAAATTAAAATCTTTTATCTTAATGGGAATTCTAATCCTACCGGGACGTGTTTGCCTAGCTGCGCTTATCATCCCATCACGGGAGGGGTTTTTTTTGCTCAGGATTTCCTTTGATTCGTGGTCTACAGCAGAGAAGTGAAGGCACCAGAGCAGCCGACTGCCACTAACAATCGTGGAAAAGCTGAGACTTTATAGCCATTCTGTGAATTAAAATACTGTAGCTATTATCTAAAATTGGCAGCAGAGAATTCCTATGGGTTTTCAAGATATATTGCTTTGGCAGCACCTGCGTATGTGAGAACCGGGGCAGACTGTAAGAGCTTGCTGGTTCACTGGATAACCCCACTGTTAAAGCCCTTTCAAATTTTTCACAATTGGGAAACAGATCCTTCGACTTTCGCCATGGTAACACCCCTGTTGTTTTCCTTTGTTGACAGTGGAAGGCCTGAAGGTAGTGGAGATTGAGAAATGCAAGAGCGACATTAAAAAGATGAGGGAGGAAATGGCAGCAAGAAGCAGCAGGTAAGTTCTGCTTTGGACCTAACGAAAGAAATAAGTATCTGGTTTCAAACTCTAATGCAACATTTCCGCAGAATTGAGTTACCCTCTGGGCTTAGAAGTAAAGGGGCAAGGAAACGAATAACCATTAAGGACAGTGGCTTTAATTTAACATTTGCAGATCTATAGCCATTCACCAGTTAAAATAGCTCAGGCCACGAGAATAGAGACAAAGGTCTTGCAACAGAGAGTTATTTTTCACTGTACAGAATGGGAATTCTTCATCCAGATTTACTGGGAGAGAGGGAATGGGAAAAGAACTTCTGCACAGTGCGGCATTTGGTTGGGAACCAGCTAACACTCGAATCAGCTCCAATATATTCTGGGAAAATATCTAATAAATATGTAGCAGCTCTTCTAATTATGATCTCATGCTATTATAAAACATCCATTTCAAATTCAACAAGAAATTGGGAATTTACTTTCTAATTCAAGGGCTCACTGTGGTTGTGAAGTTGGTTTCGCTGTAATTAAAACAACAGCAGAAAAGATTACATTTTGTACGGTATGCAGTCTCGGCTGGAAAGTCTGTCCCCTGCGTCACTGAAATACCCCATTAGGACAAACAAATCCTCAATGTGAGATTATGAATACTTCAGGAAAGGTTGCCGAAGTGGGATATACCGTGTTTCTCAAAGTGTGGGTGAAGGAGATTTTTCTCAGCAAATGTAACTGTGCTATCTTGACAGCCTCTCTCATTTTCTTCATTTAGGGTCAAACTCTCTGACCTTTAATCAAACCTATTTCCTATCGAGGGCAATGGGAGATTTGCTAAAATAATTAGGCTTTATAATCACTCACTTTGATAAATTTGCTATCCAGATACGTCAGGAGGGATGTTCCTATTAAGTCTGAGGCCAAATTCATCTGTCATACTAGCATAAATGCAGAGTAACGCTATTAACCTCCGATCTGCTCCAGATTTATACTAGTAGGATGGATTGCAGTTTGCCCTGTGACTTGCACCATTCCTTGTTCAGGTGTGTGAGGAAATCTCATTAGAAAAATCAGAGCTCAGATTGGCAGCAAACGCAAAAACAAGTACGCTGATTTGCGCTGAGTGTGAAGTGAATAATGTGTGTGCATGTGAATAACGTGTGTGCATGTGAATAATGTGTGTGCATGTGAATAACGTGTGTGCATGTGAATAATGTGTGTGCATTTTTCCTCAACTGTTGTAAGGAGCTGGGAGAACTGCATTTGCGAGCATAGTGACGCACAGGCAGATAGGGAATTAAAACCAAAAAAAGAAGTTATGGCAACTTCACGTTCGCCCAGTTGTCGCCACACACATCAGGAAGTATGAGACTGTCTCAGCAGCAGCAGCCATGACTCATTCCTGTCCCAGATCTTGTCACCTTTCGATCTATATTTTGTAGTATAAACAGCAATCTGTTAACAAGAAAAACGGGAATGGGGAGTGCTACATCTGCCCAGTGCAGCCAGCTCCAGCTGAGGTGTAGTCTTCACCAAGGGCTTGTAGTGAGATGTGCCAGCCACCAAAAGCCAGAGACCAGCACGGAGCGTGATGCTGGGAAGCTGTGGTAAAAATGAGTGTGGTGCTGCACAGCAGGGAGCACTGGGCACAGACACCCAAGCCAGCTTGCTCTGAGCTCACACTGCATAACTGCTTTCGCTGAAGCAGGAGCGTAACGTGCTCTGCTCAGCATCATTTTGTGCTGTATCGATGTGGCAGCTACCTGTCACAGCTCTTCTTGGTTGCCTTGAGCTGAGTCTTCCTCCTCTTGGCTGCACAAAAGCTCCTCCTCCTTGCACAAAATTCTGCCGGTGATTATCTATACCCTAAGGGCTTGGGTGTCAGCGCAATGTGGCTAGGTTTGGTCTATAACCAGGGGTGGCTTCGTTTTGCTGTAAGACTGAGGAGAGGATGCTCCTCGATGGCCAGCCTTTAAGAGGGACCCCATCGGGAGCTGCTGAGGAATGAGCTGTGGTTCCCTATTCCTGAGCTCCACAGGAGACATGCCATCAGCCCACCGTGACCCCAGCCTAGGGCTGCTTCCCCCCAAAGCGGCTGAGCAAGCTCTCTCCCATTGGCGTGAGATATGTGCATGCAGAGGCATCCCAGGGCAAGTGGAAATGTATTTGCTTCTATTTAGACTTGTCATCGCTTGTACAATGTCATTTGCTAGATAATGAGTTACAGTTGCAATTAGGGATCACATCTAAATTTAATTAATGCACATAAATATGTGTGAGTGCATATATTCCTTCAATAATATCACAGTGTACACAGCTGTATTCTTGTATGTTGACATATTCTTACATTTGCTGTTTACATTACCAAACGACAGAGTAAGGATGAACAGCTAGGTTTATAAAAGTCATCACGCATAGTGAATTCTGCATCTCTCCCCTTCAGAAGAGCAAAGCAGTCTCACTTTCATTCCCCCAAATTACTTTTTTGGCCAGTCTGCTTTTTGCACTCACCACGGGCAGATGCCAATAACATTATTGTGTCATTTAAAATCATGATCACTTGCAGAACAGCTTTATGTTTGTAAAAGTCTAATGCACCCTGCGTCTGGTGTGTTCCCCAGTGTGGTAGGATGAAGGCTTTGATGTCTTACCACAGCTGGGAATTAGAGATAGTTGGCTGACCCTCAGCTAACCCTGGCAGCCAGCTCCAATTAGGGCAAGGAATGCCCCAATCTCACTCTTTTTATCCTACCAATACCCCTCACAGTGGAGTTTTAAGGAAACAGCTTTAGAAACGATTAAGAGAGCTTTTCACCAACTGAGAATCTCCTTAACAGGACAGAAAAAGGCAGCTGGTTGAAGCCAGCTGACCACCATGAACTGTAAGATGACATAATTTTTGCAGGATTCAGACAACACCATCAGAAATGATAGCAGACATCAGTGTTCAGAGGAGAAAAGAGACCCAGACCAATTCCCAACAGAGAAGAGAAGCACAAAAAAGAGATGCAATAGAGAATACGCAAAATAATTTTCAAAGGGACAAGTAAAGTTAATGGAATATTTTAGTTGGCTTCTTTTGGGGGGTTCCTTTTAGCTTCATTTGGCAGGAGAACTGAAAAATCAGCAAAGATAATCCAAACGATAGGACTACAGGGATAAATGCAAAATGCAAGCAGATCAACCTCATATGAGAGTTATTAAAGTTCACGTGATCAGCTACCTAGGAAACACATGTTGAGTTAAAGTATCATGATTGCCATGGGTGATACCACAGAGCTCCTAGTTTTATTGTGTTCCCGTGGCTGTAAGGCAAGGAACTTCTCTTGCCCTGCGATGGAGCAGCCTAGACGTTCTGCAAAGGCTGTAAGGCTGGTGTGCACCTCCCACCATCATGGTCCTCTGCGCAGATGGGATGGCATCAGCGTGGCTCTTCCAAATGCAGAGGAAGGAACAGCAGATAACTGGCAGTTGGTGTTGGTGTTAATAACCAGGCAAATGTTAATTACCTGTAGTTGCTGGCAGCGGCTCCCTTCCTCCAGGACCAGGGAGCCAAGAAGATGGTGTCTGCCATACCTGTGCCTCACTCCTGTTGTCCTGCCTGAAGGGCAGCAGGCAAGATGGTCGTGCCATCAAAATGGATGGTCTTACCCGAGGTTTTATGAGGCCTGGAGCTGGGCGGCATTAAGCCACGGGCTCAGCGGGTGCTTACACTAGTAAATAAGCACAGACGTGCCAGTGTCCATGCTCAGCGTGGCCGCTGGCATGGCTCTGCTGTCCTTGGACAGCTATGCCTGCCGTGGACAGCAAGCTGCTCACTGAAAGGAAAGTTACTTGGTTTAAATAGATGTGATTGGGAATCCATGGATACATGGCTGAAGACAGATGCTTCTCGCTTGAATTCAAATAGATGGAGAAGGGGTGACAGGGGTGTTGCACAGGGGGAGAAAAATCCTAAAGAGGATCACACTTTTAAAGCATTTGAGCAACACCATGTTAGAAAGGGAGAGGTTGGGGAGTGGGATAATTCTCGGATCAATGCCTACTGAGAGACTGGAATGCTTCCGGCATTTTTCGAGGCGCTGTGGTTCTGTTCCCACAGTATTAAGAGCTGAATATTTCATTTCAGGACTAACTGTCCCTGCAAGTACAGCTTTTTGGATGAAAACAAGAGGCCGACTCCCCGGCGGGATGTACCATCCTACCCAAAGGTACCACACAATGCTTGCTATTCCCAGAATCCTATCACACACTTGCCATCCTGACAAGCGCTGGTTTAAAATGCATGACTCCCTAGCCATCTACCTCCTAGTTATTCTAAACCCAGGGCCTGATCCAAAATCCCTGGAAGCCAATGGAAAATGTTATTGTTGCCTGTGGTGACTTAAAGTTGAATGTTCAGTAGTGTTTAATACTTGAAAGCTCGTCAGCGTTTGAAATGTTAATGAACATTTTGCGTTCGTCAACATTTATCGCTCTTTTGTCTAGTTATATTTGTTTATTCTCCATGCTCATAGCAAACAATCAAAAATAGCCTATAATGTTGTACTCTAATTGAAAATAGTGCTGCTGCCTGTTTTCTCCTAATGGATTATTTTTTAATTTAAAAAGTAATTTATGGGGATGTTTCACCTAGGGAAACAAAGAGAAAATGCGACATTGGATTCTCTCCAGAATGATTCATTGTCCCTGTGAAAATGAGTTACTGTATTTGCTAGAGAAAATAGTAATTCTTGAAGAAAAATGTCTACTAGGCAAGTACAACTACAAATCCGCAGTGATGAACGAGGCTGAAACCGTGAAGCACACAGGATCTTTGGTCCTAGCACCAGCAGTCTTTGCCCACAGGAATTATTCAAAGCTCCCAGGTTATGTCTGCACAGTGCCCAGCTCACACCTTGACAAACACCAGCTCACACGTGTGCAAAATACACTTAACATGGACATTTGCCTGCACACATCAAAGCTGGCTGAGCCGCCCTCAAGTTCACATGGTCCTGTGTGTTGCAGGTGTATGATATGGACATGCATCCTTGCATATTTTTCTTCAGGGCCTTACAGCACAAGGAATTACAAGTTCTGCTGTTTATTCTGCTCTGCCTAGCAAAAGTGACCTCTAAGTCTCTGAAGCAGACATGATGAGACTTACATTTCTTTTAATTAATTTTTGCCCAAGAGGCTTGTGCTCCTAACACTAACATGTTTTTGCAAAACATAGGAGTTCTAAAAATTATTTTTTTCCTTGATAAGTATATATATGTCAGATCAACCTTTGATCTCCTGCTATGATGTTAGGATCTTGAATTAACAACAAGTGCAACGAAGAGTTGTACTAACTGACTGCAGAGTAAGCTGATACTCTATGCTGTCCTTAGACCAAAGCTCACATGAGTTTTGGTTTCAGAAGTCTGGGTTCTGTTTGACAGATTTGCAAAATCTGTTATCAGTTGTCAAGTGCTGGATTTGTCCAATGTCAGTTAGGCTAGGAAGTGGTGAGTCCACTGAAAGAAGATGTTAGTACAACACTGTTATCAAACAACAAATCTGTACTGCTAATTCACAGATTTCTTGTGGAACGTCATACTAAATGTACATTATATAGGCAAATGCAAAAATCATTGCCTTGTCAAGAAGGAAAATTAATCTTCAGTGTTATTCTTCCTTGGATTAAGTATCAGCGATTTGATAGCTCAGAAAATTTGATTCACCTGCTCAGTACAGTAAGCCCAAACTAATTAGAGACAGCCATGGTAAATGAGCCAATTAAAGCTACAAGGTTTTTGTGTCCCAGAAAGACTCTGATCAATAGAGTCTCGAAAATATGATTCAGTATTGTCCAGGTCTCATCTGGTCTTTTAACTCTCCACATTCCTTTTTTTTTTTTATTTCGTATACAAATTGTAACTGGCCGATGAGCTTGATTTTTTTTTAAGCCTCTGAGCGTAATGATAAAAAATCACTTGAATCTTGCAGGCTGACAACCAATTTGAAAATGTGGGCGTTCTTGAAAAAATACTCAAAATGAGAGTATAAATCATCTGAAAGTAAACATATCATGCCCACCAGCTAATTTAACACTATAAGCATAGACACCTCACACCACTCAGCCATGACTGGCTGCAATGAATGTTGCTGATGCTCTGCAGGCAGCAGAACCGGTGCAGCCGTGGATGGATCTGTGCCCTGCTCCCCTTACATCCCCTTGCTGGATCTTCCCGCAGTCTGATCCGTAACACCTTCACTTTCCTCCCTTTTCTCCCAAACCCTCCACCTCCCTGCTCCATAAGGATCTCCACCCACCAGCAGCCTGCCAGCCAGGTGTCAGCATCCTGGCATGGCCACAAGCGGCCGGTGGGGAGGGAGAGGAGGGTTGGGCAGGCAGAGGGAGAGATCAATTGCTCTGTCCTTGGGAAATACAGCTAAACTCTGAGTGAATGGGACCCCAGAAATCCCAGGGATATGCTGACAGCAAGTCCCTCACCGGGGCAGGGGACCCTCACTTACACCCACCGCCTTTTTGTCTGCAGTACATGCTGTCCCAGGAGACCATAGAAGCCCTTCGGAAACCAACCTTTGACGTCTGGCTGTGGGAGCCCAACGAGGTAAGGATGCCATGTTCGCTGGGTTAGCACTCTTTCTGAGAGCCAACAAGGCCAGAGGAGCTCTTTGAGATGGTCTGCAGTGTTTTTCCCCTTTTCTGCCCCTTAACCTCTATATTTTTTTTTATTTTCATGTCAAACCAGAATACAGTACTTTTTCCCATGCCAGATAGGTTATGCTGATTATCTTAACCTGATCCCTCTTTATTTTTTCTTTAATCTCACCCTAGTAACATCCCATAACCACCAGTGCACTATCATTACTGCCGCATGAGTTCTCTTGTGCCATTTTATTTGAACAAATCAATCGCTAGCAAAGTGTATGCTTAAGCACATCATCAATAACTCTGCTCAAATCAATGAAGCTGCGTGCTGCTGTGTGAAGCCAGGCAGAAATGCATGCATTGATCCATACCCTTTTAGACAAGGGTTTTTCCGTGATGCTTTCTGAAGGGGTTGCAAAGCTGCATACATGGCCTATTAGTCTTTTCTTATTGCTTCGTTTTCTTGTTTTTCTTCTTGGTGTAGGTATTATTCATTGTTTGGCACTTGTGTTACAGAAGGTTCTGGAAGGCCCATGTGTAAATGTCTGCAGAAACATGAAGGAGAAGGATGTTTCTGTGATGGCCAGATAATAATATAATGTAAAACTAGCTTCAGCAAACAGGAACAAATCTCACCTGGGAAAAATGTAAGGGACGGCAGGACTAAACTAAGGGTTTAGTGTTGGGTTTTTCCCAAGGGAAGGACTGGGTAGTTCTAGCAGCACCACCAGCAGCAATCACCTTAATTACCTTCTCAATCAGATACTGTGCATACAAGAGTCATTCTGGCTCAGCACCTGTAGATCAACATGACAAGGAAAAATACCCCACACCGCACTCACGGGAACAGCATATTCCCTTCAGGATATTTCTTCTGGCTGGTAGAATAACAGAAGGACTCTCTGGTGGCTTTAGGTCTGTCTCCCATTCACACAGGCTGGCAGAGCTTCCCTCGTGCGGCCAGTGCCAAGCCAACGCTGGTGCTCTGCACTTACTGCTCCCTCCCCAGACTCTTTTCTCTGTACCACGGCCATACAACTGCTCAGGCAAAATAGCTCGCCCCCAGCTTTTGAATGCCTGTCAAGTCTTTACAGCAAGAGAGAATTACGACCTGCCAGGTGGACGGACCATAACACTGCTGGCTCATTGTTGTTCTGACTATTAAGAAAGAATAGGGAGAGACAAAAACTATTATCCACGGATTCTTGTGTGCTGAGGCACAGTATTTTAGCACAGTAACTCATTCAGAGTACTAGGAAACTCTATATGGTGGCATGAACAAGGCTAACAAGAGGGTGCGGAGATTAGACATGCCCTGCAAGGAGGAGTGCTGCTCCGAAATAAGATACTGCACAAACTCTGGTGAGCTGAGCACCATATGGGTTTATCTTGCCCTTTTAGCTCTGCTTTATGTTTACAGAGAATATTTCGGTTCTGTCAATGCTTGTTTAGCAATGAGCATTTGCCCACGTGCTCAATGTGGGGCAGGCAGGTTACATAAACCGTAGCCTTCTGTAAGCAAATTAATTAAATGTTGGCTCTGCAGCATCTCGGTAAACAGAGCTATGCAGCAAGCTTGTGTTCTCTTTCTGAAATGTCCCCTCACTTTCAAGCCTTAGAAGAGTCCAATATTCAAGCCTTTGCTGCTGACCAAGAAAGCTAAAAATGAAAACTGAGGTTCTCATGTGCTCAGGGGCAGGGTCTTTGGGACTCAGGGTCACCCTGCCACTCACCCAGAGCTCTCTTGGCAACAGCTGGAGGGAAACAGGCATTTCTGAGGGTAATTCAGCCCTTCTAGGTCAGGTTTGTTGTTTCAGAAAGTCTTTTCTGAAAGTATTGCAAAACCCATATTCTACCTCAGCGACTAGGAACAAGACAAGGTGGTGTACAGCAAAATGCTGGCCATGTGATCTGCGCACAGTTCAGCTCATGATGTTGTCCCTCAAGTCTTGCGGGAAAGTCTCTTTCTTCCTGTTTGGATGACTCAAAACCAGCTCCCTTGTTACTGCAGGAACTATGTACATTCCCTGGATAAATATAAAGTTTCATTAGATGAAATCATTTTTCTGGAGAGTTTTTAAGAGCCTAAATAACAGAAACCTAACTAAGAATGTCTCCAAGGCCATATTTGTGACATTACACTCATCATGTTAAAAACTCCTGCATCTGTTTACAGTCTAAGAACTGTATCTGCTAATGCAATGGTTACGTTTCATCCCCTGCAGTTTTGCCTTCAGAAATGGGAATGCAGATACTCAAACTCCTGAACTCCTGGAAGTCTGTTCTTTTCTGACTGGTGGCAGCTGCTAAGTGCCCAGACACATCAGATTATCAATAACTTCCTTTTGCAATATTTTTAAACTCAGAAGATTAAGCAGGAGTAGTAGTGCTAAACTACCTGTGTCCCCAGAGCAGATGTTGTCTCAAAAGAGGAGCCTGCCTTTGCATTTCAGCTATTGGCATTCAAAGTTACAGTTTCCAGGAGTGGATGGTCACAAACCTGCTGCGATTTTGTAGTGTTTTAACGGGAGATCTTTTGTTAAACAAGAAATCCGAGTTAAGATAGTGGATTTAGGAACTCAACAAAAAGTCATAAAGAAGCTATTGATCCATATCTAGAATAAACGTTTCTTTAAGAATCTCCTATTTTCTGCTGTCATTTTCTATACAGCTAGGGCCTGATCCATTGCTGTAGAAAAACTCCCACTGATTTCATTGAGTGTTAGAACATATCCCAGCTGAATTAGAAAAATGGCAATACTTTTTTGTGGGAAGGAATTGCTATGATACGCGTGAATCACAACTACTAAAGAGAGCTGGTGTGATTCAAAGACCTGCACAAAACCTATGAAGTCAACAGCAATCTGCCTACTTCAAAAAGCTTTCAGAACCTCTCTGTCTCCCCTCTTGCACTGTCTTTAATAATGCAATCTTTGAACATCTTTCTTTCATCTCGACAAGAGGGCTCTGCCATTATTCGATGCTTGCAAGGAGGAAATTCACTCTGCAATGTATCGTAAAGTAAAGTGATATTTACCAAGCCAATAACCTATCTCTTCCTGGTTGCAGATGCTGAGTTGTTTGGAACATATGTACCATGATCTTGGGTTGGTAAAAGACTTCAACATCAATCCTATCACGTTAAAGAGGTGGTTGGTAAGTATTTCAAATTTCTGATATTTGCAATTTTTCAAATTCAAAAACCAATAAACAAAACATTTAGTCATGGAATTAACTTGACTCGCATGAGTAATCCCACTGAAAGCGGTCAATCTATACAAATTCTTAAAATTTAAGTACTTCAGCAAATGTTTGCATTTTTGTGGTAACAGGTGACATTTTTTCACCTGTTTTACATTTGTTTGCTGAGCTTTCTATTACTGAAAGCAGTTCATTTCTGATGAATGCTCTTGGTGCCTGCTGTAAATGGAGATGAGTGTCTTCAGATATGGCCAAAAAAAGCCAGTATGTGCAATAATCGTTAGATGTCCTATTATCACAGAGAGCAAAAGAGCAAGGCAGGAAGGAAAAGGAATTGCTGAGAAGTTCAATAACTTTCTTTGCCTTGGTCTTTAATGTTGAGAATGTTGCAGAGATGCAAGACATGATAAAGATGAGATCATACCAAAACTAAGACGGCTAAAGAAGAAACACTGGAGTATTTAAAAATCAGTAAGTTATCAGGTCCAAAGGAGAGCATAAGAAAGAATTTTCTAAAAAGCTGAGGATTATATTGGCTTTCTCAGAAAAACCCATCATGTACCTGGAGGATGGTAGAACAGTAAATATTTTACCCATTGTTTAAAAAGGATCTAGGGTTATCCTGAAGGATTATGGTTACTAAAACTCACATCTCTACCTGACAAATTTCTTGAAACAATAATTAAAAACCTCATGATGTGAAGTTCGTTATACAGATGTTTCGTATGATTCCTGTAGCAAAGAATTGTATCTCACTGATCTCTTCTAATTGCCTGAAGAGTATGGACAGAATAGAAGGAACTGTTTTACATGATTGACTTAGACTCCCAGAAAGGTCTGAACAAATTCCACTAATTCAGAAGGTGGCTAGAAAACACAAAGGGAAACATTGGATTCATCGTATCATGAAGTACAGCATGAAAAAACACCTGGGCACCAACGTACACAGGGCAGTGACTGTCGCTGCTTGGTGTGCTGGTGCCGGCTGAAGATGACAAGGCATTAGGCTGATCAGAAACTGGAATAAGGGATAAAATGGACCAATGTTACCATGTTTCCATAGAAGGTATAAGGCTTACCTGGAATTTATGGCTAGGACTGGTTATGATTTTTAGAAAAATGGTATGACTACATTAAAGGAGACGTAAAAAATTGAGACCTACGAAATCTCTCTCTGAAGAAGGCAGATGAAAAGCTCAGTATTTTTGACCTTAGAAAGCAGCTGAACAGAAGGGGTGGGATGAAACCCAATGCAATCAAGGCTACCACAGAGTAGATAAAACAGAAAATTTCCTCCTCCTGTCTCACAGCCTGAAAACATGGGAAACAAGGTGATATGTCAACACACATCAACATGCCACCCACACGTGTTACTGCAGGCAGCTTCCTGTTGGCTTGCATCTCCAAGTAATTTGTTACCGCTAGCATTTAAGAGAGCCTCGTTCTGAACAACGAGGGGACTTTATGATGTATTTTCTACAAAAGTAAGACAGGGTGAGATTTCCTTTCTTACACACTAGCTTTGCAGAAACAAAGATGATTAAAAAAAGCCCCAGGGACTCTGCCTCAAACTATGATACTTCCCTAGGCATGGTATGGGCACCAGTTTGAACTTAAGTGGGTGAGAAAAAGCCACCTCATGCATATGCTTGCTTTCTTTCTCCCACATCCACTGGCTACAGAAATGTTCCAGAAAGGGGAGGAAAGGATGACTAACAACCCAGTCACTCCAGCCCTTCAGTGCTTTGAGTCATGAGTTCGCGGGATGCTCTGGGCTCCACTGCTGGATGTATACCTTACACCCATGCGGTGTTGTAGGGTGCCTGGGCAGGACCACGGTGTCCACGTGGAGGCTGTCAGATGCTGCCCACCACCCGTGAGCCTGGCTGTCAACCATACTGTGCCATTAGTTATTCATTTTAAAATAATGTAATATATTTCTAAAGTCCTTGGTGCAGAATAAGCTGAACAACTTTTGCAATGAAGCCCCTAAATATTGAATAAGCATTGAAAACCCACAGTTCTCTTGACCTCAGCCAGAGCTTTCATGTCATGTCCCGGGTTGAAGGGTTTGATCCTTATGAGGCTTGAGGACTCTTGAAATAAATTCACTATTTAGCTGGAGAAGGGGACACAAATTCCATTCGTGTCATTAATTCAGGCTCAGTAATTGAAGCATGTGCATAAGGGCTCTCTAGGGTCCAGGCTACAGAGGATTCAGCAGAAGGGGTCCAGCAGTGCTGCTGATGCTTGGCCGTTTTGTGTGGGACAGGATACCAAAAGCTAGCCACCGCATTGGAAGAATGACTGTGGCATGTGTCAGCCCAGCTGAGCCGCCTTCATTCAGCTCGCCCGGCTGACAGTAGTGAGGACCTACGGAAAGACAAGCTTTAGCTTGCACTTGTAATGAGAGCACATAGCCAAGATCTGTAGAAAATTTAAACATACAAAACTCAGTCCCATGTGCCTAGATGGCTAAATCTCTCCGATGCTGTGCAGCGTAGGAAATCCACACAGGTATGCTAGTGCATGTGCATTCACATCTTCACTTTGCCAAGCAGCACATCCCAAAGTGCCACCTCTGAGCATCTGCAAATGAAATAACAACTATATTTCAGGCTTGAGGATTTCAAAGCTGCAATTTGCATTCAGCGAGAGAGGGGAACGGGGATGTACTTTGAGTTCTTTACACACCCCAAAGTCACCATTTAACCACGATATGGTTTGAAATACAAATGCAGGATCAGAGCGCAGAGTCCTGTCTCAAGACTGAGATGCACTTGCAGTTGTGCTGGGATGTGAGAGAGAAGTTGCTATGAGCTTTACCTGCTGACAAATTCTTGAAAGGCAGTGATCTCTCACGCTCCCCCAGGAAGGCAGAGAGTGGCCTTGTGCTGTCACTCTGTCCTAGCAGAAAATAATACTGGGCTCCATAGGACTCCTGTAGGGATATACAGTGCTCCCATGGAGGCTGGGAAGCCTGTGTAATCATGTTTTTATAAAGAAAGAGCTCTCCTGTCTCTGACTGCTTCATTCCCTCTCTCTGCAGTTGTGTATTCATGATAATTACAGAAACAACCCCTTTCATAATTTCCGGCACTGCTTCTGCGTGACCCAGATGATGTACAGCATGATCTCGCTCTGCAGCCTCCAGGTATGTCCCCCACCCCAATGCTATCACTCCATTTCTATCATGGGGCACGTGTTCGTCCCCTCAGCACCACGATACCTGTGCCACCTTTCTTGCAAAACAGGCCACCAGCTTGCTAGCAAGTGCTGAGCTTTGCAGTAGCTGTGCTTGTTCGGTCCCCTGGGCGAGGAGGAGAGGTGTTGCATTTCCAGCTCTGGCTGCCCGCTCAGCCATCCCATCCCAGACCCCAAGCACCTACACAGCTTTCTGAGGCTGCTGGGAAGCTACCTTCACCTCCTGGATAGCCCCAATTTGTATGGTGAAGCTCTTTTGACACTCTGATAGCACAAAACATTTATGAATCAGATCCAAAAGCCTACTGAATTATGGTCTGCGGATATGATCTTCATCTGTGACACAAAATGTTCCCACGATGTTTTCTCCAAACGTGTGCTTACACCTGGGTGAGCTACTGTAAATAATGCCTTGCACATACTGTATGCGAGATTCACATTCAACCTATACTTTGTCCAAAACCATAGGCATCATTTATTTTCATTGACTGGATAACCTGTGTTTATATATTAATTTCATTTCAGTACAAACCAGATTTTCTTCAGTAAAAAAAACCTTTCTTCTTTGTAGTTAAACATCTGTTACTGGCCTAAGTCTATTTTCTTGCCAGTAAGCATACGAAGAAAAACTTGCTTTAATGAAAGTTCATCCTATTCAGAAGCCGTGGGAATGCAACACTTAATTTTTCTCACTCTTTTCATAAATTTAGTTAACGCAGAATGCAATGGCAACTAAGCTCTCTTCCAGCCCTCCCGTAACTAATCAGGATGCTCAAATGACTTGTAAGAGACTGTACTAATATCTCAGTGCTTTCATATGATCTCTGCAGTAATTGCAAGTTTCAAGCAAATTGCCTCCTCTGAGCTGCTGTTATTTAATGCAACAAAGGCAAATCTGAGTCATTTTTACTGGAAGGGAAGGCAGAATTCTCTTTCTTGACTGAAGTAAATTGATCTATGGAAAAATAGTTCATTTTGCTCAGATTTGTGTTTCTCCTAAAAGTAAATGTGGGTGTTTTTACTTCTTTTCATTTATGGGGATAGGGGAAGTAGAAATCGTAATATTACGTTAATGTTTTGTATTTTACAGGAGAAATTTTCCCAAATTGACATCTTGATTCTCATGACTGCAGCAGTATGCCATGACTTGGACCATCCGGGCTATAACAATACGTAAGTCTGTCTCTTGCTTTCTCTTCCCTTAAAATTTATTGGGAAGGTAATACCAGCTGGCATTTTTGGTAGATCAGGTTCTCCTTCTCACAGCTTGAGCTGGCCGTGCCCTTCCTCCAAGGCCCTGCTGTTCACTCACACGTGGGCCAAGGCAGAGCTTTATGCAGAAAACTCAGGTCTGGGTCGGGGTTGCCAGCTGTCCTTGGCTCTGTAAGGAAAATGCTTTTTCAAATTTCTATTCCAACACTTTCCCCCACTCCTGAGAAAACAAGGTAAAATGTTTTACAGCAGAGAGAGAGGACATAAATGATTATAGCTCCATTGACTGAAATGGAATAATTACACTAAAATGCAAAGGGTGATTTAACTTACACATTATTTCATAATTTTAAATCATAAAGTGCATATTATTCCATTTATTACCATGTGAGGAAACTAGAGTTGTTGACTCATGGACACTTTTGTGTGCATGTACGTGTGTGTGAAAAAGAGAGAGAGAGAATCTAATTTATTTGTAGCCATTCATCAAATAAGGGCAGAACCCAATTCTGACTGGGATCAGTGAGAATCTGTCCACTGACATTCGTGGGGGCTGAATGAAGCCCAGACAGTTCCTTCTGTGTTTGTTCTATGTCAGTTTAAGCTACAGCGACTTAGTAAAATTAAAAAAGAACCCCTACAGGGGAATAGTGCCTGAGATGATATTAAAGTAGTATCTATCTTCTCTAAAAATCTGATTTAGTATTAACAATCAAAAAACAAACTGCAGCTAATTGAATAAGTATTGAAACGAATGTAAATAAAAGTAAGCAGCATGGTTTAGAGCAGCTGGTGTGTGTCTGCAGGAGTTCTCATTGTTTTTCTTCACATCAGCTATCAGATAAACGCACGAACCGAGCTTGCGGTACGCTACAATGACATCTCCCCACTGGAGAACCACCACTGTGCTGTGGCTTTCCAGATCATTTCCCAGCCAGAATACAACATTTTCTCCAACGTCAACCAGGACCAATTCAAACAGATAAGACAGGTATGAATGCTGTTCCCATCTGTGTCGTACAAACTGTTCCTCAAGATGTAAGCACGCACAGACTTCCCTGCTGTACAGTGCAAGTGAATCATTCTCCCTTGAGGGTAGGAGTGAAAAAGCCCCTCACGCTGGAAGGATCCAAGAGGGATTCTTGGAAAATTTCCACAGCAGCACTCACTGGAATGTCTTGCTGAGAAGTAATGAGTACATGCTGACTATTAAAGCCTATGACATTTTGGGGGTAGATATTTATATTATTGAAGGAGCCAATTAGCTCTGACTGGGAAGGGATTAAGCTCTCATGGCAGCAGTTTATGCTTTAAGAGAACGTTGTATTAATTTTAAGAGGGGCTTCAAAATGGGAAAAGATTTACAATAGCAGAGCACTTGTGCTGTTGGAAGAGGCTTTGGTGGACTGGGAGTCATCACATTTATCTCTGAGACAGAGAACAATGCTACAATTCCCATTAGAGCACTAAGGGCCAAAATTCGGTCTTAGTTTTTGCTTTACACCTTCCTTACACACCAGATGAAAAAAGCAGACCAATGCAAGGGTTCAGATACCTGTCTGAGTTAATGGAGTTACTGATTCTGCCAATGTATGGGAAGCAGGCGCGGGCCCAAAATGTATGCCTGAAAATCTATATGGAAACCTGCAACTTTAAATTAACTGCATGTTTTCCCATCATAAACTCCACCGAGCAGGAGGATACAGAGCTCGTAACGCATTGGCTGCATCTGGGTATTTCAAAGCCCTTGATCCAAGGAGGATGAGCACAGAGGACAGCCACATCTCCTGATCTTTGTCTCTTCCTAGGGCTGCTAAGAGTTAGCAGCAAAACCTATAGTGCTTTCCAAGGAGACAAAAGCAGATCTTGGCAAACAGAGTGTGGCTTTTAACATCCTGTTGTACAGGGTTTTTTCCACAATTAGTCCATCAGAATGGAAAAACCTCAGTGCCTCTGGAATATCACACTGGTGTTACAGATCAATCCAACCATGATCTTCACATACCATGAACTCTTTCTAAGCCTCTTCCAGTTTGCTTGGAAGTTTCAAGTCAGAAACTTCCTCTTTCAGTATTAACAATGTAATGCATCTGAGGCTTTTTGTGTGTAAGAAAGACCTTACTTTGCTCTGCGATAGTAGGCTCTGTAAAGAATGTCAAGTTAATATGTGAACATGTTTTCTTTGCTAGGGGATAATTACGTTAATCCTGGCTACAGACATGGCGAGACATGCAGAAATACTGGACTCTTTCAAGGAAAAAATGGAAAATTTTGATTACTCAAATGAAGAACACATGACCTGTGTAAGGAGGTTTTGTGGATTAATATTTTTCTGTGCATAGTGCAAAAGCTTGTAGATTAACATTTATTTGATTAAAATCCAATATTCAATATACATTATCAAAAAAGAATCCTTCTTACATCCTCTGCTCCATCAAAAAGAATTGCAATTTGGAAGTGCTATATATAAAATAGATTATTCCAGCTTTAGAAATCCTGGAGTCCCATCAGGAAAAAAATAAAATTTACTCTATCAGGTCACAAATTCTTGTTGTCCATTACTGTGGCCCAAAAAGTATCCACAAGAGTACAAACTCTAGTCTCCTCTACTTCCCAATCCAGTCGCCTTTGACATCCAGGGACCTCTTTCCCCAGCTGCCTCTGAGTGCTCCACAAACAACTTCATGGTCATTTGTGCCTGAATCTCTTCATGCAGCAGATAAGCGCACGTCCCACTGTGACACATCCCAGTGCTACAGACAGGGAAACCAAGGCAGAGAGGGGATAAATGGTTTACACAGAGTAACTGAGAGAGTGGGAAAGAATCCAGATCATTTAAGACCTCCGATTTCATCCTGAAACTGTCTTTTCTGTTTGAAAACATTGGCTCCCACTGCATTGTAAAGACACGAGTTCTGGATAGGGCAAAAAAGGCTGGCATTAAGACTGCAGTATTAAAGTATTCTCCTCTTTCAGCTGAAGATGGTACTGATAAAATGCTGTGATATCTCCAATGAAGTCCGCCCGATGGAAGTAGCAGAGCCCTGGGTAGATTGCTTACTAGAGGAATATTTTATGCAGGTAAGACAAAGGGAGGGATGCAATTGCATAAATTGCTGCTCTTCCTGAATCCCACCCCAGCTACAGGTGCTCTGCTGTCTGACAGCCCAGCCTAGCGCTAGGATGGAAAGGCTTCTTCCACAGCAAGTCGGAGAAGGATGTCAGCGAGAGAAGCTGCTCAGAAAGCAAGTGAATGCCACTGAGCACAATTTGCAGATGAAAGACAATACCAACCTAAAAATCCTAATACTAGCAGACTGAAGCTTGTTCTCTTAAACGTGGCTGCCTTGCAAGTTCATTTGACATAGAAATTATTTTTGAGCCAAAAGGGCAAGGGCAATGACAAGAGAACGTTGTCAAGCAAATTATATCAAATATCACATGGAAATGAGTTCAGATAATTCACTGCATGTGAACATTCCCCTAAAGAGAAAGCAGAAGACTTGCTGAGGTGTGCGAAGTCAGAATTAAGCTCCACAAACCATTGCTCCTCACTGGATTCCCAGCTGAACACAGTTTCTGATTACTTAAAAAAGGATCCCTGGAAAAGCAGCTCTCAGTTGCCTCCGGCACACGGGCTCCTGAGCAGTGGAGATGTGCTTTCTGGTCAAATATCTGAAAATAATCACTCTCTGGAGAATGATGAGGAAATCAGAGACCTATTCCTTCTCTTCTAGAGCAGCAAGAGCCATTACCACCTTTCTGAATGCTCTGCAATATTTTACCTCACAAGTCCCACGGAATTGCAAAGGGAATCAGGTGGCCTCATTGCCCCGTAAACCTGGAGGTGAATGAATTCATGCCAGTGCTGCCCAGAAGTAACTGAACAGAGTTCTTTTTATTCAGGTGCTTGCTCTCAACAAAGCAGAGTACATTGATCCGAGGGAAGCATATTGCTATTCTGTGCTCTTTAGACACCACTGAGATCTGTATCTGAAGGCTACTGCTCTTTAGCTAGTGATCTGCTTGGTGCGTTACTCCCCTCACAGGCTTCTAGCCAACATTAACATTTGTTAACTCCGGATTTGTTCCAGAGCGACCGAGAAAAATCTGAGGGGCTTCCAGTCGCACCGTTCATGGACCGCGATAAAGTGACCAAGCCGACAGCACAGATCGGCTTCCTGAAGTTCGTTCTCATCCCCATGTTCGAAACAGTAACAAAGGTAAGTCACCCAAGGCCAGAAGCAGAAGTGTGCAGAGCCTCAGCGTTTGCTCCCACAGGTGTTTAGTTAGCCAGGGAAATGGGGATGTACAGTTCACACCCTGTCTTTCACCCCATTTCTAGCGTGTACAAGTTAATGAATACAAAAGGAAATGTTGATATTCTCTGTCTCGTTTTCACCTAGCTATTCCCAGAAGTGGAGGAGGTGATGCTCCAGCCCCTTTGGGAATCCAGAGACCGCTATGAGGAATTAAAACAGATAGATGATGCTATGAAAGAGGTAAGCTCTAAATACCTCTTTGATAAAGTGAACATCACGATTGAATAGGTCACACATGACAATTTACTAGCAGCTTAATTCCAAAACAGTAGGAATACTTATGGCATAATCATAATCATGAAAAACACATTCATTATGGCTGGCTGGAGAAAGGCATGTACCATGAGCAGTAAGCGTGCACAAGAGCATGCCCTTGCAGAGCCAACCAGGCACCACACAAGTACGGCCCTGGGAAGGGAGCTGCTTGCGAGAGAGGGACCTCGAGAGCAGACCCAGAGATAATCACCTGCGGGGAGCGTGTTAGCAAACACCTCTTCCTGGAGGGAGCTGCCTTCCCCTGCGAAGGAGCTAGCCTGGGCTAGATTGCAGCAAAATGTCCTGGGGCTGGGCACCTCAAGGCACTGCACCACCAATGCATAAGTTTATTTTCTGGGAAGAAAATTCCATTCATGTGTCTATCATCAAGGATATGCTTGAAATTTTATGAGGAATTACCCTCTAATACGCAGCACCCGGTAGGGTTAAACACATAACCAATGAAGCCATTTTATGGCCCAGGCTGGGTGGGGAGCTCCATTTACAGAGTGTCTCTCATTTTGATGTGTAAGCCTTAGGGAAGGTGGAATATACATTTAACCACATTTGCTGTTTCCAACCACGTCTGTGTTGCCTCGGGAGCCTGACAGGGCAGAGACCGAGGCCAGACCCTAGGAGCGGTTGCCCACATGGCAATACAGCAGCTGGCGTGCTGGCCCAACACCCACAGCCAGTGATGCTGAGCCTGCATGCCTTCCTTGCACACCTCTTCGAGTCCTCCTTTTCCCTGCCGAGGCAGATAACAAAACCTGCCCAAATGGCATCACAGTGTAGGGGTTTTCTGACATGAACAAATTTATCATGTAGACAGGATACCATCAGTCACTCTGTCACTAAAATAAATTGGGAAGTGCCCTGGAGCACCAGTTGTCCTGATACTTTTTGATATGTGGGAAATGAAGGTTCATTCACTCGATCATCTGTGGGTGGGTGAGGGGAATAGTAGCTTCCTGGTGTAGCTCCCACCTCCTTCCAAGTGCTTTGGAAGAAAAGCCCCTCAGCAGCACAAATACTAAGGCTGGTTAATCAAAGAGCACACGCTCTGAGGGCACCAAGTTAGAAAGGAGAAGAAAGTCTGGTAGGCGTTCTTCAGTTTAGAGAGAAGCATTTCTCAAAGGAGGGAAGAAGAACTCAAATATGACTGCCAGACTTTCTGAGTCCTATTCGTCTTTCAAGTTGAGCCAAAATTTTACTTCTGGTTTACAGAAGCTGCCAAAACAGAAATTTTATACAAACTTGTGGAGCTTTAATTACAGTGTATTGGCATAAGAGGTCTTAGGGAAATAGTTGCCTGAATTCAGAAATATCCTGAAACAAGAGGAGTTAGTTAATAATCCAAGAGCCTAGCTCAGCAGATGATGAGAAAGACTGAGTTCTCTTTACTCAGGACATACATCCAGAGCTGTTTGGATGAAACAGTGCCTGTGACATACCAAGCTGCTGCCTGTTATTTCCTAAGAAATGTTGCACATGCCTTGTGGAGAGATAAGCGTTCGATTCACAGCAGCAGTGGAAAGTGGCGCTGTGAGAGTCGGGTATTAATCCTGCTTTGCTCTTCATTTCAGTTGCAGAAAAAGAAAAGTGAAAGTTTGACCATCGGCAGTAGCGAAAAGTGAGAGGAAAAAGTCTTCGAACAAAACATAAGCCCTAAGGTTATTCTGGTTTTGAGAAATGCTCTATTTGCCGAACGGACGTGGTGGCTACATCAAAATCCAGATGGGATCATGTACGCGGAGAGGTGGGAAGCACGGATGCCCTGCCTGCCTGTCTGCCTGCCTGGGCGCCTTGTCTACAGCCTGCAGCCTGCTCGCACAGGCGCTGCCACCGCCGGGCACCAAGAGCTCCCCACGCCCCGTATGCCCACCGCAGCCCCCCCGGCAGGACTTCCCCTGTGAACATTGCAGAGATTGCAGCACGGCTCAAACCTTCAGCAGATTTGCCCTTTTGGTGACCACATTGACTGCAGTCTGTAAAGACAAAGCGGAGTTTAGCTAAGGAGTCTTTTCTGGAAAATGCTCCGCTGGCATCCAAAAACAAAAGAAAAAGTTGTTTTAGTCAAGATACTATATACATGGGTACAGCAGTATGCTAAGTACAGCGTAGCTTAACAGATGCTTATATTCTGACAAGGGTCCTGGCATACATTTTTGTTTGCCTAGTAGGCCCTAATGACACATTTCTCTCTATTATTCTCTGAATTTTATAGTGTTCACAGTACATTCAGAAGCCCAGCATAGTGGATGCAATTTTTTTTTTCTACACTAGAAAAGATCAGAAGGAACCTTAATGAGTTTGCAGGTTCGCTTTGTGGCCTGGTAACAGCTGGATGACACGGGATCCTTCAGCACGAGCAAAGAAGGGAGCACAAAGCTGAAACCACTGTGCAAGCATATTTTTTATCCTCGTGGATGCAAAAAGCAACAACAAGAAAAACCTTCAAAGATGTACAGATTTTTTTTTTACTTTTAAACTGATCTGCTAAATAATATATTCTTCTATAGAAATGGGTGTTGTACTTGTTTTCTTTTGCATATGCATTCACGTGAGAATGGTCTCTGTTCCTAAAGACAAATGCTTTCATAATGAATACAAGGTAAGGGGCTGTAAAGGAGAGGGGAGGGTCAGTTCTCCTTAAGAGGAGAAGGTTTAGAAACATTTTTTGTGGCCTACTTGCATCACAAGCGCAACACCGAAAGAGCTTCACTTCCACTGGTGACTTTGTAAAGGTCGGGAGTCAAGCTCTGCCCGGAGCTGCAGTTGCGCAAGCAGACAGCAGGCAATACTGCGATCGACTCCTGTGCACCACCTCACCGAAGGGGAGGCTGGAAGAAATCCCCCTTCCTCGTGCCCACCAGAGGCGAGCCACGGCCACGCTGCTCACCTGCTCCTGGTTTCTCCCACTGGGGAAAAGTCATCCTCCTTGGGGGTTTCAGCAGACAGGATCAGTTCCTATCACGGCCCGGCTGCTGAGACCAGTGATTCCCATGCACCCCAGCCTGCTAGCATCCCTGCCGCTGGCAGCTTTCGGCACGCAGCCAGCGAAGCATCCTGCCTCTTGCTCCGGTCCTCCTTGGCTCAGTTCCTGAGGCTGCCCCATCAACGTCGCTAGGTGCGTTAGCAGTAAGGGTAACGCTGGTGCTATGCCTCTGCAAAGTCCAAAGCCGCGTGCGTTGTCTTGGCTTGTATTTCAAAAAGAGATGAGCAGGTGGGGGCCAATCTTTCCTCTCCCATGACCCAGGAAACACCTTAGGAAGCTCAGCCTCTCTGGCAGGTGTCTAGTACCGAGCTTACCTCTGAACAACAAACCCTCCCTCCTGCTCTGGAAACTCAGATTTATTCTCCTGTTGTTTCTGCACATTAATTCCAAGCTTAGCTCTTGTTTCTCCCCCAGTCCCATTTCCCATCCTTGGTCTCTTTCTTTTGCACAAACCCACACTACTTCAGCTACTCTCCAGTCTCTCAGGGAGATCAATATTACCTTAAAATATCCATCCCTCTACCCTATTCCTGGTTGCACATTTCCAGAGGCCCAGGAGAGCCTCACAGCTAGTTCTCTCTGCCGGTGCCTCTCTCTGCCCAAGCCGCCTTCTCCTATAAACAGCTCTTTGTGTCTGCGGTTTGGGCTTTCTGCTGCCAACTGGAAAAGGGTCTGATCCCTGGATTTGAACAGTCGGGGGAATCCCAAGGGAAATGGGAAGATCCAAACATAGGGTCAGCGCCAAGCTACACAGACATCTTCATGAATGGACGAACTAAACCCTAGTTTTGATTAACCTCAAACTTTTGATGCTTGAAATTTGGATCTGAATTATGTGGTTTGGGCCTTTTTTCTGTACTAAATCTTATAATCCAAAGTACATTGTGACCCAGATTGTTCTGCTGTAGAATTCTTCACTTCTTTTTCACAAATAAATCAAATTTACCATCTCCATTCAAGCGGATTTCCGTCACAAATCAGCTCCCAAAGCAGATGAGCTGTGCAGGAGCTATAAACAATTGCTTAGGATATGCCAAGTCCTGCACTGAGCTACTTACTTTAGATGAGAAAACCTGCTGTAGGAACTCGACTGCACCCTCCTCCCACTAAAAACTGTTTAAGAGTTAGGTCCTGATAGGAAGTTTTGTTTCCGTTGGAAGGCTTTTCTCTAACCATAAACCCTAATCCAACAAGTATTTATGCATGCACTTAACTCCCACGAGCCCAGTCACAGACCCTGGCGTACAGTAGCTAATTGCACAGTGCAGGCTCCTTAGCTTTCCCTAACTGAAATGCACGGGTGTTTAAGAATTGATGGCCGGCCCTTGGTGCTTGTTTTGGCTCCATCATTTTTAAAAGCGACCTGAAAACCATTTACTGGAGAGAGATGATCAGAAGATGTTGGCGAAATCCCAATGACTTTATTGGAGCTGCATCAGAAACGCGGAGAAGGGAACGCAACCCATCCTCAGGGCTGCACTAGTGACTGTCGTGATGCTGTAACGCGCTGTGCAGCTTATTGAAAGAACAGGCAACATCCAAGCTGCTGTTCATAGACAGCTGTAAAAAAGACCACGTGCAATCACTACCAGCTATTGGTGTAAGTGGGAATACCATAGCATTTTCTAATGTCATTTGCCCTTGTAATATTAGTTTTCTAAGAGACAATCCTCCCAACATATGTTTAACCAACAGGAATGCAAGGCATTCTCTCATAATTCTAGTTTCTTATACTTTTTCCATAATATTTGACACTATGATTCATATGCAAATTAACAGATTTGAGAATCTTGGCAATCAGCCCATTAAAATGTCACACGTTTTCCGGGTAACATTTTAAAACTACACTTAGCATGAAAATGAAATTTTTTTAGGCAGCCAGACAGATGTCTCAAGTGTGATTTAATCTTTTCTCTCCCTAATCCAATGAATAAGAGTGAATATTATCTTTCAGTGTGGTTGTTTCAGCTTACAGCAGGTGCCTCACAAAGAGCTTTCTATGATCTGTTGCGTGCATCTTTTCAGCATCATGACAGTGCCACGTGCATCCCAGCCTTACATCGTTCCTCCCATTTTGTGACCGAAGATGAACGTGACGCAGGTTATAACTATTCCATGCCATTTATCTTGGCAAACTAATGATGAGCCCTGGGATTTTACTACTCTTTTTTTTTTTTTTAAATGATGAAATCTCACAGTCCCACATTCACTTCATTTTTTAGTATGGTTTTCATAATCAGATCAAACTAAGGCTATAGTGTAACTGCATGTCTTGGGAAGGAAACAAGCTTTTTTTAAAATGTGACTACCCCCACAGCAGCCAATTTGCAATGAAAATTTAGTGTGTGTTAAATACAGGGGTTATGTAATGCCAAAGAAGTATCTGCACATGGAAATTGTTCCTCTCAATGCTGCCTCTGAGCAGCAATAATGACAGCATCTGTTCCATATGGGAGTGAAGCCGAGTGCTGGTGTGGAGTATGAGCCCATCAGAAGCACTGTCAAGCAGTATTCAATTTTCCAATTTAAACAGTGGGCTTTTATTGCAAACTGCCCCTTCTCTCCAGAAACACCTGAAGAACAAGCCTTACCTTTGTGCCTGGTTTGCGGTATTGAAGGCGTACGCGCTTCTTTTTATTCTCCTATCATATTGTTCTGTCTTGTGAAGGTTTCTGTGAGAGAGCAGACACAGTGGGGTAAATCACCTACCCTACGAACGCAAAAATCTCCCCATATTTACGTCTTTCCCACACTATCATCTCCTCGATGTCCCTGTGGCGAGGCAGGGTATAAAACCCAGCAACGTGCCTGTTAGTGACAAGGAGCACCCAAGGCCCAGCCTGCGGGAAGGACGTATGGGAACGGCGAGCCTGATGCAGGGCCATCCACCTGCTGCTCCGACTCCCAGGGTAAAAAAAATTACTTTCCCAGAGGTTGCTCTGGAATCAGGCACATCCCAGCTCCAAGCTGTGGTCCAGGGAAGACCAGGCAGGTCCTGCCCTCCTGAGCCACCCCTCTGTATGCACAACCCTCTGCCATGCAGCACCCTTGCGATTAAGGTTGTTCAGCGCCAGCAAAGCGAACCAAAGACTTTCTGAGGGGTATTTAAAACAGGTTGGATGCTGCTTTTCTAGGCAACATGGCAGCGCAGCGGGAGAGCTCTCCTTTCTCTCAGCTCTCCAGAGCAGAGGTAAAGTTTGTACTCTGAAAAACTGGCGCATTGAAGTCCTGGTCTGTGTGTGGGTGCTAGGATGGCACAAGAAACCAGTAAGTCTTAATAATACACTTAGATCTGCCTCTGGCTTCAGATACCCTCTAGAGCAAGTCACCAAGCCAGGGCTTCCCTCTCCTTTCAAACAGAGAGACCCACCTCTGTAAAGCACCGTGTGGTATTCAGACGTGAAATGCTCCTCACTGCAAGAACCAACAGTTACCATTTGCAGAAAATACAACTTCATAGAAACTTCTGGCCGAAAAATTTATTCGATGTCCTCATAAATTAAGAAGCTGTAACCAACAAGTCAAACATCTCTTTGTGATCATGCTGTAGTAGATCTGACTCTTTGCTAGTGAGAAGTCATATTTCTCACTATCTCACACACACAAAAAGCTTCTGACTATTTTGGCACGTAATCCGGG